ATTTTGGCCATGACGACCGCCGAAATGTGAGCAGGTGCGTTGTCTTGATGGAACAGCACTTTCTTCTTCTTCAAATGCGGTCGTTTTTTTTGCAATTTCTACCTTCAGCTTATCAAGTAATGATGCGTAATACGCTCCCTTATTGTTTTACCTTTTTCAAGATAGTCAATACACATAATTCCGTGACTATCCCAAAAAACAGTCGCCATTACCTTCCCAGCTGATGGAACCGTCTTCACCTTTTTCGGAGCAGGTTCACCCTTTGCAGTCCACTGTTTTGACTGTTCTTTTGTCTCTGGAGTGTAATGGTGAATCCAAGTTTCATCTACAGTTATGAATCGACGCAAAAAATCTGACTCGTTTCGTTTGAACCGCTCCAACAGGGCCTTGGAAATGTTCATTCGAATTCGTTTTTGGTCCAAAGCAAGCACGGCACCCAACGCGCGGATAGCTTGCGCATATCCAATTTTTCAGTCAGTATATGACAAACGCGTTCTTTCGATATGCCCATAGCCTCTGCTACCTCTCTAACCTTGATTCGACTGTCGTCCAGTACCATTTGGTGAACATTTTCGATGTTATCAGCGATGGTCGCAGTTTTCGTCCTGAATGCTCATCATCAGCCAAGCTGGTATGACCACGTTTAAATTCAGCTGCCCATCTTTTTATGGTGGCAAATGATGGGGGAGTCCCCGTAAACAGCGTCCAACTCGATTTTAATTTGCGCAGGCGTATTGCCTTTCAAATGTAAGAATTTAATCACGGCATGATATTCAATTTTTTCAATTTTTACAAAAACACTGACATCGACTGACAAACAACTGTCAAACAACAATTGAGCGTTCAAAATGAAATTTTCACAAAAGTCTTTCAAAGCATACTATTATACTATTGTAGTACTAGAATGGTTTTGACGAGTAACGTCATCTTCATGTTAAGGCTCAAAACTTTTCAGACTACCTTCGTACGTATGATTACAGTAGTTTTAGTTTTTCTACGAGTGTAGAATATTCGAATAATATCATGTGCTATTAGGAATGTTAAGGAAGTGGAACTCTCCTTTAAAAAAAATTGATTTTTTTCTTTCGAATATCGAAAGCGAATGTCAAAATAACAGATAGAAAAAAAGTTTTATACAAAATTTAAATTGTTTCAAAAGTAGTTTATAAAGGAAATAAAAAAATTTTTTTAACTTTTTTTTAAGTTTCCCTCATTACTCCATATTTATATCTTTAATTTTGAAATTTTTTAATGACTAAATTAAAAGTTATTTTAACACAAATTTAATCATATATGATAAACTTATTTTCGAAATATAATTTTTGAAAAATAATTATAAATTTCTACGTTTACATCTATCCGTACCCGTCCATACGCTCGATTCTTCGCGCTGAACGAATTTCGTTTTATATTGCACTGATTACGAGAGAGGAAATCAATACAGTACATTGAATATTGAAACAAAAGTTTTTTTAATAATAATAATAATAATAATAATAATAATAATAATAATAGTAATAATAATATTGAAAGTAATAAAATAGCAGTGAGTTTATTAAACCGCTAAAATTAGTCAAATACTTTGACGATATGTTTACGTATATACTGAATACTTTGGACAATTAAAAATGAATTAATATATGATTAAAGAAAACAAAGTATTATATTTACGAAACATCGTTTATTTAATTTTGACTAGAGAGAATGATTGATTAGCTAATTATAGAACAGCTAATTGCAA